GCATCACTTTATGGCTTTTATTCCTTCTTCCCTCCATTCTTCTCCTAAGGGCTGCTGCTGAGATTTACAGCTTGCTTGTTCCAGGATTTTTCTTTGAATTTGAATAAAACTGTCCTAAAGCATCAATTTGAGTCCATTCTTAAATTCTTTTATAAAGGAGACTAAGAACTCTGAAAAGGGACCCTGTATCAGTGGGCCCGGTTAGCCTGGCACTCACTATGTAGACCAGGCTGGCCTCTAGCCCACAGAGATCACCTGCCTCGGCCTTCCCACTCCTGGGATCAAAGGCCAGTGCCACCTTGCCCAGCTGCCTTTCTTTTACTCAATTAGGACACATCATCGAGAAGACGAGAGGGAAAGGTTTTGTTTGCATCCATAGAGAAACTCCTTAAGGGGAGCTGAGTGAACTGCTGGGTAAGGCATGCCTAGTTGCCTGGGGTCCTCTGCTCAGGTATGAGACAGCAGACAGAGGCAGCTTCACCAGGGCTGGATGGCTGATTCTTCAGTCTGGGGAACCCAGATCCACGTGTCTGGTTGTCTGGCCAGCAACAAGTCCAGGGAGGAAATGGTGAAGGGTCCCTGGGATGAAATAGTGGGGTTTGGGTCCCTCCTGGCAGGACCAGTAATGAGGATGTAACCTGACATGTCAGTGTTATGGAAGAGGATGCTGTTGCCTTGAGACACCAAGAATGATGAAGGACTGGGGTGTAAAAAGCATAAGCAAGGCCGGTTTTTCCAAATGACAACACAAAATTAAAATGAAGTAAGCGAAAGCCTCCTGACCAACAACTGAAATGATTTTCTTAAAGGTCAGATCAGAAACCCCATTTGAGGGGCCCGTGATGTCACATGGCTCAGCTCCATCTCCACTGGGCTCGCCGCTGTTACTGCTAACATCACCCTGACAGCCTCCCATTTGCTGTCTGAGTGCTCTCGCACCCAGGCCAGGCTGACAGAAGTTCCCCCAACAGCAAGACAGAGACACATATCAAGAAGACAGCAATCCAGAAACCTGGCAGGAGAGGCAGGACACTAGACTGCCTCCACCCTGTGGCTGGCTACTCACATGCCTCCACCCTGTGGCTGGCTACTCACATACCTCTTCACTGGTTCCTGATACATTCATTTATCTCCATGCCTGGACCTGCCCATAAGCAAACCATTTCTCAAATTACAGGACTAAACAAAGAGGTGGTTTATACTCCAAGACCACCTTCCTCCCTGACCAAATGAGAAAGGGAGCATAAAGTCTGCCAACCCCTGAAGAGTCAGAGGCCATTTTCAATGATTTAGCATTATCACCTAAGTGCCGCAGATAGATCAAAGCTCTCTCAAGAACAAAATAGATGTACATATTTGGCACCCTAGGTCCATGGTTTGGATGTGAAACCTTCCTCTTCTTGCTGTTAGCTGGAGCCCTGGTAGCCCCACTCCACCCAATGGTGAGTCAAGCCAGCAAGGTTTTAGTCTAGGTATAGGTGACAGACAGTTCAATGTCAGAAGCTGTGAGAAGTGTGGTTCTGACCTCAAGGAGCCTAATGGAAGACAAGACGAACCCACTGAGGAGACTAAAGCTTGAAAAGCACAGTCTGAGGAGACAACTTCTTGGCTAAGGTGAGAAAGGCAGCTGGCAACAGAGCCAGTGTCTTGTGCGCAGCTAGGTAAGGCCAGGGAGAGGGAATACGTGGCCGTGCATGTGGAAGGGTTATTATGATGGAAGTTGAGGGCCAGTGCTCTGGGCCATCACTGGAGTCTGGGAGCAGATTCCTTGTGCATTCTAGGGAGAAAGTGAAGGCTCCACCTATGAGCAGGGCCCCTTACTCAGCAGCAGCAGCTCACTTGGAGAAGCTGATTGCAGTGGAAGCTGGACAGAGTCCCGATTGGGAGTGCTGGAAAGGCAGGAGGCTACTGAACATGATGGATTGCTTTCAGTGTGTGGCAATCCCCTCCTGCCTGCAGAGAAATGACTTAGAACAGGTACAGGAATTCAAACTGCCAAATTCTGTTTACAGACTTGTGTTGCTGGTGAGAAGTGAGCTTGGGAGGGGCTTGTGTTCTACTGCAGAATTATAGGGAATTTCACTGAGCATGTACATGTGACTCCTCTCAGCCAGCGGTAGGGGCTTGAGGCTCACTGAGGTTCAAAGTCTCAGTCACCTACCTTCGCTACCCCTAACTTCTCCAATCACGTTTCCTACATCTCCCAGTCATGACCTCTGCAAACCAGGCTACTCTTCTTCCCAAAACAGCTCCCCCCACCCCATTTCTGGGCTCTTCTGTCACATACAAAGTAGAGTATTCCCTCACGCCTGTTCCACGAGAAGAAAAGCCTTTCCACCTTTCACATTGAGGAGAGACCTGCCTTATCTGCAGGCATCAAAGAAACAGACCTGACTCACTGCAGGTTGTCATGCAAAAGCCAGGAGAAGGGGCCAGGCAAGCAGCAAGCAGCTCTTCCCTAGAGAAAGATACCCATTCAGCTAAGAGCCTGGACAAGAGAAGTTTCTCTCCATCTCTGGGGGCTGGAACATAATGGCAAAAATGCACTGTGACCACTGCTGTACACAACAGACAGCCTAGAGGGCTCAGCTATGACCTGAAAGTCTGCTGGAGTGGTGGCTGGGAGAGGGACTTGATACTTACCTGCAGGGACGAGCTGAAGGGAGAGGCTCTCAAAGAAGAATTCATGTCAGTACCACCACAGGCCCTCCAGCTTAGGCATGGAGCCGCTGGGAAGCAGCTGATTCTGATGTTGTTACACATGGGAAAATCACTTTGCCTGACATGATGAACTGAAGCTGGGAACTGCTCCCTCCCTCTTTCCTTTGTTCCAGGAAAGATGTAGCTTTTTAAAGCAAGATCTCATGGCCCTTTCATTAATCCTCTTAACACTGTGAGGACCTGCATAGTGCATAGGCAGGAGCCCTGGAGACACAGCAGGCAACTTGCGCCCCACCCCCACTCCCACTCACGGTCTGGCATTGTCCAGAGCACTGCTCACTGCAGGGTAGGTGCTCACTACACCCTTCACACACAGAATTAATCAGGGTGACCACTTTTTCTTTGCACACAATGCTAAATTTATGTAGATTCAACAAGTACAAACTCTGGAAAGAAATTACATTTAAATACAGGTGTGAACACGTACTCCCAAATCTGTAGGTGCTTCATTTGTCAAAAACAAAAACCACTGGAATCATTGTTCAGATAAGACCTTATGCTCTGTGTTTCACACTTACAAATCCAATTGTGAGCATGTCCCATGCTTAGAAAATGTCCTTTCTGGGCCTTCTTTTGAAAGGCCAGGTTTTCGCTGGTAATATTTACAAGTTAAAACAGAATGACTTCTTGAGTGGCATTCATTCATTCATTCATTCATTCAATGGTTATTTCTTGAGCACTTCCCATTAGAGTCAGGCACTGTGATAAGCCTGAGAAGTGGAGTAACAAACGAGGCAGAATACTGTTTCCCAGGTCCTAGTGAATTATACCCACCAGCTCACAGGCTCCTGAAGTTGGGAAAACAGTTTCCTACTCCAGCTTGGCTTGTTCTTTCCTCTTGTCTTTTCTTCCTTTCATTCATCTTATTATTTATTTATTTATTTATTTATTTATTTAGAGACAGAGTTTTGCTATATAGCCCAGGTTGGCTTCAAATTCACAATCCCCCTGCCTCAGCTTCTTGAGTGCATGTGCCACCATGCCTGGTCAGCATAACCCTCTTTCCTTATGGCTTGTTTCTGAACAGGCTAAACCTGGGCCACTCTACCTTGTTCTTTTTCTTTCATATCTTGCTTGTGGCTCTTCTCCTTAGCATTTCATATTCTCTTCTTTGTTCAAATTCACACAGTTCTGGCTCTCTCAGAGGTGAGTGCCTGAGTTCCCAGCTCTTTTGTCTAAGTTTAGGGAGATCAGGCTGTGCGGGGGAGGAGCTCCTGGAGAGCTGCCTTCTGAGCAGAGTGATTCTAGGTAACATCTCAGGCACAGGTATCTTTGCCATATGACTGAACAGTCTGGCCCTGCTGGATTGCATTTAGAATGAATGGTAGACTAAAGGACCTATAGGGTGGCCTGGCATCAGTGTGCTTAATATGGGTATGAGTGACTGAGTGGGAGAAAAAGAATAATGTGGCCAGAAGCTTAAAGACATATCATGAAAAGGTAGTAGCAAAAGTACAAGAGAGGTGACCCCACAAAGCACAATGAGTTATGAGGACTGAGCAATATCATCATAAACACGTCCAGAAGAGACACGGCAGTCAGCACCCAACCTGAGACACAGAGATGGCACTACCATCCCTACCTGTCCACCAGACCCACTGATGTCACGGAGCTGTTACTATTAATACACAAACCACTCAATTTGCCACAAGAGCCATCTATGCTGTGGCGCCTGCCTTCCTTACACCCCCTTCGGTCCATGACTGACCTTATCACATAGGGGTGATGAGCATCTTCTCGGTCTTTGCTTCTTAAAAGATCTAAACTGACACAAAATCTACCTCCCTGACAACCATTTCTTCTCTCTTCCTGAGTCACTCTTTTAGAAAGCCCCTCACGCGGAGGCTGGATTCAGCCCTCTCACCTGTGTGTATACATGCTGTGTGTGAGTAGAAGGGATGTGACTACCTTCCCTAGGTGCTGAGCAGTGATGCAAAACTTGGAGCACATCAGTCAGGCTCAGCACTTTCGGGTTAGGGAAACAGACTGGCAGTTTTTCGCAAGTTCTGTGAGATAATTACTATTGATTCAAAAATGTCATGAGATTTGTGCAAGGGAGCATTGTGGTTAGACAATTTCTCTCTGACATTCTCAACTGTAAAATGGGAATATTCTATCAGGAAATAGTGAGAATAAACAAACTATTTCTTTCGAGAAAAATGACTGTACTTTAAAACTTCCTTTAGACAGGTGCTGTGAGATTTGTGGACACACCCAGCACCCTTGGTGGTCCGGGTCAAATTGCCTTCACATTGCAGAACTGATAAAACCCGACCCACCTTGCCAGCCAGGCTTGCACACTGGCTTTACATCCACCTGCACCAGGGTGTCGTGAGCCGCAGGCTTCTGTCCACAGTCATAGGCGGTCACCAGAATCTCATACTGGTGTTGCTTGTCGTAACTGAGCTTCTCAGTGTTTCTGATGTTGCCTAAGGAAAAGGGAGGCGCAAAATAATTTCAGGTCAAGTGAATTGGACTAACTTATTCAAAAGCTCGTCTCCTTCCCTCACTCTTCAGGGGAATGGAATGACCCTTTTCTCTACCTCTTTGTGAAAATAAGGGCAAGCAGGAGCGTGGCTCTCACCCATACCCTCCAAGCTCCCGTGGTAGGTTCCTGGGACCACTGGCTGGGGCCATCTCCTTGCAATCTGGCTGCTAAGGAATTCTGGCAGTAATGGGTTGTCAGAAAACTCCCCCTAAAGTTCACACGTGTGTCTGTATATCTGGTGCAGGCCACAGATCACTTGTCTGCCATGAAGTTTCTGGGAAAGAGAATCCAGAAAAAGTCCTGGCACATATTTTTCAGCATCTGGGCTTGTTGCCAGCAAAGCTTACTGTCTCTTCTCACATTATTTTGCTACCAAATAGGAAGTAAAATCAATGAGAAAATGTGTGACCTCCTTGTGAAAGCTGTGTAGGATAACAGATTCCTTGCCCTGAGGAAGGAGACATTTTTCTCCTCCAAGAGACAAAACAGTGTTTTCAGAGCCATTTCTGTGTTTCTGCTCATAAAGAACTTAGTATTACGATCAGAAATAAATACTTGGTTATTAATGATCAAAATTTAAAGTGACTAGTTTTGATTGTATGCTATTTGGGTGCCAAAAAAAAATGAATAAACACCCTAAATTCAATACTTTAAGTTTTTAGTGCTTAAGACATTAACATCTTCATTTTCTGGGAGTAATTTCCTTCTCACCTACTCTCTCTCTCTCTCTCTCTCTCTCTCTCTCTCTCTCTCCCTCTCTCTCTCTTGGAACTCATTAAGTAGACCACACTGGCCTCAATCTCACAGAGATCTGCCCGCCTCTGCCTCCCAACTCCTGGAATTAAAGGCGTGCGCCCCACACCTGACTTCCTTTTGTCCTTTTGAGGAGGCATTGACAGAAAATAGGAACTCAAATGTTATTATCTTTTACCCAAAGTTAAATTAAGGAAACATAAATTATAAAATGAATCCACAACAACAATCAACAAACAGAATGGCTGATTCTAGTATATTTTTAAAGTATCTACTTCTAAAACTAAACAAAACTTACTCAAACCAGCTTTCTTCATTTCAGCCGGTAAATATTGTCACGTAGATTGGTGCAATGTACTAAGATATAAAATTCTTAGAAAATTACTATGTCAGACTTCGCTTTAAAGATTGGAAAAGCTGATTCATTGCACAATACCAGTGTGTCCAGATGGGGAGGCTGGTTAACGTCAGAGAGGAAATATAAAGGCACCCTGGACACTGGGGAACAGCTTATCTCACTTTGCTGTATATTGTGGACTAATTCCTTAAAATGTAATTGTGTCTACTGATGTGTGGCCTCAGTTTAACAAAGTCAGTCAAAAATCTATGAATGAAAATGGGTTTGCTGTATTGCTGGCCTGCTGTTTACTTTCCCCCAATTCTTTGTTTTACTCTGGCTCTGAAGGTCTGCACAGGTCTGGAATGGTTCATGGGAATTCGTAGCATGCCCCATGTATTCTGTTTGCGAACTTGCCAGTGGCTGTTCTCATCAGAGACAGGCGTTCTGCCAGGGAGGAGCCCCTTAAAATCACCACAAGATATTTTTCTACAGCATCAGATTGAATTTTGAAGGAAAGCCTTAACTTTCTCTTCTTTTAGAGCCAAATGACTACAGCAAATCACACCACTTAGAAGAGGAAGGCTCTGTGTTAACAATCTGTGTAACATTAAGCAGACAAAACACTATTGATTGTAGTAGAAAAATAAACACACAAAGTGAATCTTTGGCTCAATTTGTTGCAGCTCCACTTCTGGAACAGGTCTTAATGAAACTGTCTGGGAGACTAATTTCCTTTCTCCATCTCCACCAACTTCATGCATGTGAAAATGGGTTTCAAAGCATAGAATTGGAAGCATTGGGTCACAGATGATAGTATAATAATGTGATCCCTTGTGTGGAGAGGGTTGTTTGGGGATGAGGCATGCATTTAAAATGCTTTGAAAGTTCAAAAACGTCCTCAGTCTTTGTGTCTGTTGAAACTCTGTCTTTTATTCGCACATTTAGTAAGCTTTTCTACCTAGTGCCTTCTGGGGGAACTGGGCCACAGTAAACTCAAGTGAGCTGCAGCCCCTGGACCTGTTTGTCCAAGTCTGAAGGAAATAGCAGATAGCCCGTAAGGGCCAAATATCTTCATTATACTTGCTTTCTGAAATTGAATTTAAAGATGATGAATTACTTAGGCAGAGGAAAGGTAAGTGAGCAAGTTTAAAGCTTCAGGCAAGGAGAGTTCAGGCAACAAGCAGCTGTAACTGACTGCTAGAGAGATTAGCACCCAGACCACAGGAAAGGTGCTTTAAGGGAAGGACTCCACCCATCAAAGGCTAGGGCTTATAAAGATGCAAATGTTTGTGAAAGGAGAAAGCCTGAGCTGAGAGAATATCTAAGAAGGCTGCCTGATCATCCAAAGTAACTTCCCCAGGGTCAGCAAGTTCAAGCTGATATAGCTGTGCTCCAAGAAGGTCAGGTACGAGAACTTATTGATATATTATTTTAGCTGTAGTCATTCTTTTTAAAGATTTATTCATATTTATCTGTGTGTGTGTGTGTGTGTGTGTGTGTGTGTACATGTCAATACAGGTGCTCATGGAGCCCAGAAAGTTTTAAATCCGCTAGAGCTAGAGTTATATGCAGCTGTGAGATTTGAGACATGCTGGGAACTGAACTCCTGTCCTCTAGAACAGCAGCAAGCCTGCTGAGCCATCTCTCCTGAAGGAAAATCAGCCTAATATGGCTGAAGGAACTGACCATCTGCCCACCCTGCCCCTCACTGCAGGAGGGAGATACATCTATTTCAGAGCACATGGCCCCTAGAAAAAGACATCTGGTTTCCTATCAACCTTCTTCTAGATCTGGTTCCTTATCAAACCCCCTATCAGAACTCCACATCTCTTCTGCCCTGATCCCACGGGAGGAGCAGGACACCACAGGGCATGCCTCATCTTATGGGATTCTTGGTAGGCACCTGCCTTCTGGGATTCTAGGAAGGCATGATCCCTTTGCTGGGATTTTCAGGGTCCACCTATAAATCACAGGCCTCCCTCAACCCCCACGCCCCAACCTCCATACCCTAGGGAAGTTTAAATGCCCCTCATAGTTAATAAAGCTATCTGCATCTGTTGAAGGTCGGATTCCCTTTCCATTTCTTTATCGCATTGCCTTCGCATCCCAAATTCTAACATCTCCAGGCCCTAGCATTTTTGCAAGATAGGTCTAGTGGCTTTTGTTTGTCATTTTGTTAGAAATAAAAGCTGAAGTCCAAGGACCCCATCAATACTGCACCAAAAACAAACAAACAAACAAAATGCAAGGACAAAGTGAAAGGAACTCAGCAAGACAGATTTTACTTTTGTAAAAGGGTGACTTGCATGGTTAGTCAGATCCAGCAGGTACACACGGGACCCAGAAGCTTGGGGGGCTTTTATCCCTAATGCAAGGGAACTGTGTCTTTTCCCCATTGGCTGGGGTCTGACCTCACAGTCTTTTCCGGTTGGCTAATTTAAGAGGACTGACCTGAAGGAAGAAGAGCTCCTCCAATCCAGGCAATCGGGCCCAGGAGTGCATCAGGGCCTCCCTTAAATGAAAGTTTTACAGGGTGTGGTATGATCAAAAGACTGGAATTCTTTGTCACAAACCAAATTTCAAGTTTTTCAGAGTTTGAAAGGAAAGAGTAGTATCTATTGCTTCTTACAATTATCTCTTTCATTTTCAAAGAATGGCTTGGTTAAGTAAAGTTGTCTTTGTTAGCAGTATTTTTTAAATTTTTTTAAAATATTTTTTTGAATTTTTTTAGAAGAAGCATTTCAATACAGCTTTAACATAGTAACAGTTTCCAGAGCAAAGGTACATCTCTTTCAAAAGTGGCTATAAAATTTTTAGATTTGCTGTTGAATTAATAGTTATACAATATTGATCTCTATACTGAGACATAAAATTGAATGAGTTTTTAACCTTTAAAAAAGATCTCCATTTCATTTTAAAATATACTGTTTCTTACAGAAAGACTCATTGTTTTTGCTAATAACACTGAGATGTTGGCACATGCATCTCTAATCTGTATGTATCTGATTATTCCTAGTCATAATTGGTTGTACTTGGCAACTGTGTATGTCTATAAAGTCATTGTGTAGATTTCAGTGGTAATGTTTATCACCTCTACTAATTAACATGACGTAAATTTCCATGCTCCCTCCTCTTTTTAATTTGTTGATTTTTTTGTGTGTATCTCAGCTACATT